ACATGTCAACACTTTACACACAAGACTTGTCAACACTTTATAATTTTATGTAACTTTTCGCTAATTTACAAAACAAGGCATTGGATACCTTACAAATAAAATCTTTCATCACTTTCACAGATGAATGCGACAATAATCTACACAGGAAACTTGTCATCACCTTGCAGACATCAGTTTTACAAATCCTTTCTATGCATACAAATCTTTATTCACTTAAAAGAATGCCAACACTTTCCTCCATAGGAAATATCTGTTATCTTTTATCAATAATATTGATCCTATAGCTTATCTCCTTCTTCTAGAAAACCTTGTCTATTCCTTTAGATACTCAAATCATTACACCTCAAGTTATGGAAAATAATGGGAGATCATCATTAGCAAACAAATAACTGACAATCAAGGATTAACTTAATATTAGTCTTCTAACACGTTTTTCCCAATCAAACACCTCAATCCCTGATAAGGTAACAAGTTTAAAAAAAAAATCAAAAAATCTTTGAAATTATTGAAAATTTACTGGTTTTTTTTTTGTGTTTTCGTCTTCAGTTAAGGATTCTGAACCCCTGAATTATGGTAGAAATACAATTTTGTTTCAAATTTCACTGTCTTTTAACATGTATCGGATGAAATATTTGAATCGGAGTCTCAGTAAATCAGCATTCAACAAATGGGTCCTGGCCAACTATTTGTCTTTAATATCATTATTTTCTGACATTGAACTCAAATGACTTTTTGCCCAACCAGTCTTTTCTTCATATTGTTTAAAATTAATTGATAGAGCTGTTTGTAATAAGAAAAGAGTACTTTCAAGTTCAATATTTACAGATTTTTGGTGTTTATTTTTTCGTTGAGTAAATTGAAGTTTTAATGTACCATAGGATCACAGTTAACAGCAGATGACCCAATATCTTGCATCAGGTTTTTTTACCCTAAATTCAATCCATCAAATTCATCGAAATTCTCCCCAAATAAATCATGAGCTGGCAGAGGCCATGCAATACCATGGCAACCATGTGTCACCGACTCTTTCATTGACGGATGCAAGTTGGAGAAGAGGCTGAACTCTGACCTCGCTGAGAATATGGTTAACATTGGCCACAACACTCCATACCTTGATGAAATGCAGGTCATCTCACAAATGATCTTTTTCTCTTTTAAAAAAAATGCAATTTCTTGTCAGAAAGAGAAAAAGATATTGTGTTCATTTATATTTAAACTTTATACATCAAATTTGGTTCCAACTAAAAATAAATAAATGTCTCTCCGAGCAAGAAATTGTGTTTTGTGGGGAAAAAATTGATATTAAAACAGTAAATATATCAATGGAGTCTACTTTATATTCTTCTTTTCTCCTCAATGAAAACATCTTTTACTGAATATTATTTTCAAAAAACGAAATTTCCCACTTTCATTTTCTCTAATTTATTGCTTTAATAATTCATAATCACCAGACATTGTTTCAATTTTACAGACCAGAACTGAAGCCAATGAACTTTCTGATTTTGGCAGTGTGACACTTTGTGTGGTGAACTTTGACCCTTCCCCCTCTACATCTGTACCTAACCAGTACTTTCCCACATCCCCCCCCCCCCCCCCCCCCCCCNTGGCAGGACCCCCATGAGAACCAGGCTGCCCATGCAGACAAAATATATCCGACAGGGCCTCTTTTAGCCTCTATTCCATCTGGTAGCCCTGGCGATGATCTAACGCTCCCCCTCTCTCTAGCTAGACAACACTGTGATTGCCTAACTGTCTCAAATTCCACAGCAAAGGTTAAAAACCGGGCAACCTTGCCTGCATGTCACTGAGAGTTGATAGAAAATATACCAAATGTGAAACATGTTATCACTTTAAATATAATACTAAAGCCCCATGAGTCTTTAAAAAATCCCTGCAGCTGACCAATCGGTGCAGCGAATCTGCACTGCACCGAACACCTTCGCTTGGGGCCTTGGAAGGGACAAACAGGTTTTTTCAGGAAGTACATATACAAAAAGTTTCACAGATAAAAGGCGATACGATACGTGGTTATTGCATATTGATGTGTACCACTGTTTGTATCTTTCCCAATTCTATTATTTTAGATCCAGTTGATTTCTATTAGTGTTCTATTTTTCCACAGGACCGCCTAACATGACCTTAAAAAACTGGTTATAACAACAAATTTGTTCCTTCCGCCCAGCGGTCCCCTAGCAGACCTTCTGACAGAGCCCTTCTGCTCGTCTGTATACAGGGGCCCTCGTGAACTGTCAACATGGTACCCTGTCCTTCTGTCAACCTTGAATACCTACTCTCTCAATTGATCGGCAATAAAATCGGTGTTTTAGTTTCAAACTACACCTATCCACTCCACTGCACAAGGTGCATACATATACACAACATGGTGCATAGAGAGTCGCCTATTGAGACACCCCCACGCTATAGTCATATCATGGTAAACAATTCCCCTGTCGTTAATACCCCCCCCCCCCCCCCCCCGCCTCAGACAATCCCCACAGCAATCACCTCTGTAGTATATACATATGTGATTTGATATGGATATGCTTGACATGAAAATATAATTTAATTTCATATCCCAATGATCTTGTCTGTATATTTTAAAAGATGACAAAATTGTTGGGATATTAATACACTTTCTAATTATATCTACTTCAAAAGCAATGAGTAATACTGCAGTAGGGTTAGGTCACATTTTTTTAACCAGGAAGGTCCGGTTCGTGTGTGTTACTGCGCAACACAAACGTGGGACCGAGTGTAATGCAGGGTACTGCAGGACATTGGGTAGAAATGTGCACCTCGCTCAGGTGGCGAGGCTATCGGTGTGAGGCTATCGGTACAAGTGCGCAGGCCAATGAAACTGCACACTGGTCGACAAATATGAGATTTGGAACAGAACCTACATGAGGGGTCAGCTATATAGCAGGGCCCTTTCTGCTTATCTAGCGTTACTCAATCCTGTATAACCCCGAGACATGACCCGACTCCCAATGTATACCCATACCAACTAGTCCAGTGGGTCGGTGTTACCGCTGGTGCAGCGAGTAAACAGAAAACGACCAGGTTTACTCTGTCTGGGAAGGGGATTAGGGCTGAATAGATTTCAAGTGGGTACACTGTGAATTTGAACTTATTTCAAATGCCTACATCACTTCCTGAGTTTCTTTAAATGTTTGTTTTTTTACTTACACGTCAGAAAAACTGTAACTGGAAATATTACCATTTTTGTTTGTTACAATAGGGAAACAAAAGGTGCTACAGAATTATTTTTCTTAAATCTTACAAAAAAAAATACACCTGCAAGAATAAAAGCTACCAATATATTCCTCATTTTAATTCATTTTACTCAAAGAAACCAGAACTAATACAAGATAAAATTTAAACAGATAACGTAACATCAGATAAGTAGAAAATCTACCTATACATTCTTTAACCTCACTATATTTAAATTATCATGGCAAATAAACCTTTTTAAAAACATGTGTTTCTCCTCATGGGTAAAAAGTTTTTTAAAAATATATATATTCATAAATAAGAAAACTTAATTCACACCTGCAAAATATATACATACTGGGATATTGGATCAAAGAAAGAACAAAAACAAACAAATTACCTCATATTAGAAAAATCAACGAACATTTATTTCACTTTTATCTATATTGTATCTTCATCAATAATTATTACTTATTTTACATAATTTCCTGGTGGTCACTATTAACACTACATTGGATCACATTTCCCGGTTGTCACTAATGTAGTTAACTTCAAATTAAAATTGATTGAATATAGGGGAAATCTTCAAAGAAGTTCATTATGTCTGCAACAATCCTATTAATTATTTGCATGTATTTAACAAAAAAACAATCTTGCCTTAAAAATGACATTGACAGATAACCTGAATGTTGAATGATAAAACTGATTTATCATTTTTTTAACACCGATATCTGTCAAACAGCTAAATAGCAGGATAAAATAAAATAAAAAAATATCTAGTGCATCTACAGTAGAAAAGTAATTTCTGTTACTTTTTAAAAATCTTACATTCTTTTAAGGAAATAACTAGAATTGCTTTCACTGAAAAAAATGTCTGTCTAAAAATGACAGTGACCGTTCTTACATTACAATGACTCAGCTGGGAAATGCAGATTCGTTATAATGGTTTTAAATTACATTTACATACTTGACAATTACTTAAAAATAATATTCAATAGTAAAAATAATGCATTAACTCACCAAATACTCACTTGGAAGTGTTGTAAATTCCATGAAACAGAAATGAAAGGCGAATGGAAAGAGAACTAACGCTATTGAGCATCCATGTCAGACTACAATACCCCAATCAGTGTTATTTCATTGGTTGAACGATTAGTTTTCCGGTAAAACTAAAATGCTCGTTATAATGTTGTCGTTTTCATCAGACATGAAAATATTTTTTCTTCACAGCGTTCTCTGTTCAACAATCTTTAAACCACACACGAGTGTCAGATTCTGTGTTTCTATGAACGCCTCTCGTGAGTTTAGCGGCGGGGAGCTCATTGTAACAACTTTTACCTGTATCTAAATAACGTTACAAGATATAAACAAAAACAACGTGTTTTATTTTAACTAAATACTAAACTGCCAATGTAATTGAAAAGTTTTAAATTCTAGTTATCGGATGTTTAAAACGATGACTGGTCGCTCTGACAACCTTTTTTGACACATGCTGTTTTTCCAGCGTGGCTACTTTCGTTATTTCACCTGTGATCCTGTAAGTTTTCTATTTCTTTGAAAACAACATTACACGTGATAGGAATGAAGATCGTGTGTTTTAATTGTGAAAACAGACCCATGCTTAGTTATCTACGTAACTTGGTGCAACAAGGGAGCGGCTTAGCCCGTCTGGTCCTGCCTCAGCGCCAAGTTTACGGACCGTGTCCATTGAACTGGTCAGAAAAATGGCCTCTGTTTGACAGTGAATTAAACAACTTTCTACACATTTCTGCGTGTTAAAAATTACTTACGTGAGTCCAGTGCTTTCCTCTGTTGCGGTCTTCCCTGTTTTCTTCGCGACATAGCGTTGGTCTGATCATTAAAACGGTGATTTCCACCCAAGTATTACATCTGGACAAAGACTATCAACAAAGATGGCGGACTGTGTAAGCTGAATCATGGGAAAACTCGACCAGCACCTTCCTAAATTTTACTTATCCCTGTTTCTTCTGTCTTCCTAATGCACACCCTTCACCTCATGAGGACACGATGCGTCTGGCCACCAGGGTCACTTGAGGTCGCCCGAGCCACTGACCGCTCACACGTAAATAAACAACTCGATTGACCAGTCAGCCGCTACACACACGGTACAGGTAGGTTTGTAGCTACTCGTACCATCCAACGTTTAGAAACAAAAAGTGTTTATTAATGATAACCCATATGCTGTGGTCACCTCATCCATAGGTTTATATCTTTCCTGTTGTGATCAACAACACAATCAGTAAGTGAACCTACGCTTTAACACATAGAGGAAACATGTGCTGCTCATAGGCCAACATTTTTCAGTCCAGTGTGTACATCCGCGGACTGGCTTGTTTTAAGTCACTGACTCTACTATGACCAACGACTTCACGTTTATGAAAGTAAGTATATATTTGTCAATTGGTCTGTTAGTTTTTAAATGATAGTCATATTTAGCTAAAAAGTAACCGGTAGGATGTCGTCAGTACGCCGGGAAATACTGCGGTCAACTGAAGCGTGGTGGCCCGTAATATGGGTTACAGGCAAATGACCCCGTCGACCGGCACAGTCTATTTCAACCAAGGGGGTGATAGGTGTGCGCAACATTACGCTAGTTTACATCATGACCAGTATTCCTGCACAGAGCTTTGCCAGTGCTGTACAAAGGAGGTATGGTCACTATGGAGCAAGGCGATGCACACCAGGGTAAACGTGGTCGACTAGCACACTGTACATAGTAGGCCGGCCACACGGAATGATATACATATTTGTTAGGTCATCACAATATACTTAAGTGAGAAAACACACTGTCCAGGCGAGTCCATATCAAACATATATATAGTCTGCACGAGGATCAAATATGAACTCCATGTAAATCGTATCGGGTTGGGATCAGAAAACTCATGCTACTGGCGGCTTCGCTTGGTAGATCAAACATTGAAAATAAAGGAAAAGAGAGTGACAATAATTATACTTACTGGTAATGGTCGCACAGGACCGCGATATATTGTAGAGTAGAACTTCAACAGGTCATGGATCCATGCTGTCAAAATTTGTCTTTTAACACTTCTGGTTAAATCGGATTATTTTTTTTCTTTCATCCTTTCATGATTGGATCTTTGGACACAATGTAGGAGTATAGCAGACTTCCTGTAATTTTCCCCGGTTTTATAGTGCCGAGATAAGTTACCCGCGTGAAATATGTACCATTCATTGTCAGAGAATTAATGATTTGTATCGAATGATGAAATATGTATTAAAAAAGTACATTAGTAGGAGAAAATATGCCTCGAAGTGTCATATTATGATAACATATGTCTGGCGATGTCATATGTATGTATATGTTAAGGTTAAGATATACCCTCAAACTCGTATCTAGTAGTCAGCGAGCCGGCGGAAAGTCTATAATATGTACTCCATCCGCGCGCTGGTATCGAGGTCAGCTCAGGACACGCTTGTCCACTAGTACGTTAGCGTAAGGTCAAGGTAAGGGTCAGCTCAGGACAAGCTTGACCATAACGGAACCTTGCGGCTTATCTTTCCCGGTACTGAGTGGTGATCGTTACCAGCTGTGAGGATAACGGCAATTATCACAGCACCAGATTAGTCACGGTCGATTAAGCATGGTCAGTGCGTGTGGCCGGAGCGATATCGTATTATTGACCCGAAGTGACCAGTGTGTCGAGACGGTGTGATATCGCCCCAGGTACTGGCTATTAGGTGCTAATTATTTATTGACCTCGTGACCTACTATCAACTGACCAGTCCGTCTCGCTGACCATTACACTGACCAATACACACCCGGACAGGGCGTAACGTTAGGGTGAAATTAAGTGCTCTAAAAGTTACTTAATTATGAATTTCTACAAACTGACCACAATCATCAACTGATTAAACTTCACTGGAAATAAAAAAGAAAAATCTAATAAGTTTATTGAAATATATCTCTTATTATTTTCTGAAAGTGACAAAAATCTGGTAAGTGATATATTAAAAAGGCAGTTTTTCATAAATAATTCTTGAATAGAATTTGGGTGTTTATTTCTATGTATATAACTGGGTATGCGATATGACATGACCGTTGTCCAAAATAAATAATCGTGCCTGACCCGTGTCAGTCTGGCCGAAACGGTATGGCCAATGGCAAACCACGATCCATGCAGATAACTTGGCGCTGGTGTTTGTTTATTATAAGTATCAAAGACCATTGTGTATTTACACAGTATTGTGGTAACACTATTGTGTCGAATCATTATGGCTCACGTAACGCCATGGTGCTATAGGGCAAGGGGAGGCAATCCGTATTGCAATAATTATATCATCGACCGACAAAGCAAGGATTACGTAACACAACATGTAAAATAATCAACCGAAAGTCTGATTAGAAAATATTTGGGTAAAAATATCATCGATACAAGATTCAAGATATCCTTCACAGATCTGATTGTACATTTGTACGTCAAACATTTTCATCTGCATAAGTTATGAGGTCGACAGCTTCGCCGAGGTTCGTAGATCCGTCACCATCGCCCAAATCGAAAGATTATTTTATTGTTAATTATTTCAGTCTAAAACAGACATGCACATTAATATGGCGACACGTCTATGTAAGCTGGATTTAGTTTATAGCGATGGAAATAAAAGCACGTGACGCCTGCATATATTTTACATTAAATTATCCATTTACATGTATACATCGGAGTCAGTTTCAAAAAATTGAAATACATTTTCTTATAAATTTCACAGTATTTCTTTCTTCCTACGATAGTCTGACTTTTACTGGTATAAACTTAAATGTCTGTCATTTTCCTCTATTGAAAAGAAACAAAATATCGAGAGAAAAAAAGAATGAAATGATCAGTCTAAAATTTATTTTCATTTCAGTACTTAATTAAAGGGAATGAAAACGGCACGTTACACTCATATTACACGCCTTTGGTGTGACACTACTGCACTTTATATAAGTACTTCTATCATATTGTCTGTAATATTAGAATTAATCCAAACCACGGAAACAGATTTAAGTAATTACCGGTTCAAACTATTTTTTTATTCAGTTTACAATGTATCAAAAAATATGAGAAAATGCAAGAATTTTAGAAAATTGAAATTGTACAAAATATTTTTTTTTTTTCGATTATACGATATACTACATTTTTTAGGAAATTGATGCGTACGCAAGCACAGCCTGTTTCGAAAATACAATACGTGTTAAAATGCACATTACTTGAAATGTAGCATTTTCAAGCAAACCAAATATTATAAATGTAATGTAGGAAAATACTAATTTGTTCAAAAATACCAAATATTGTAATGTCATGAAGAAAAATGCTACTCCCTTAAAGACAATATGATTAAATTTAATTGTTTCATTATTTCCTAATGTAATAAGATATACAAATTATGTTCTGTATCTTATCACGTTGTACTATTACAGTGTATAACATATTTCTACTTCCAAAGATAAACCATCTTATATGTCTAGGAGTAATCATGAAGTAACAATAACAACAGTCAACCTTGGTCGCTATAAACCGTTATAATGATTTCTGTCGAACTCGTACGCTCCGGCCAATACCTCACTTTTAGTTCCGGACAGTTCGGCCAGTCTCATGTGTGTATTGGTCTACCAGTGGTCAGTGATCACGAGGGCAATAAACAATTAACACCTAATAGCCAATAGTACCTGCGGCTAATATAACACCGTCTGGACACACATGACGTGTCGGTCAGTCTGACCACGCGCCTGACTGTATACACTTGTTTCGGCGGGTCAGTCTATGTCCCTCCGGCCACACGCCTGAAGTCCGTGTACTGTTAACCGTGGTTTTGATCTTATCCACCAATAAATCGGTAATACACGGTTTTTCAACAGCGTGCAACATTGAACAATGATTTCATAGCAGAGTAAATATTGTATCTTATAATTCTTCATGATTTCTTCCCCACTGTATTTTTTTTATATAACAAAGTTTCCAGTTTACAAGATATTATGAATTAATTCTTCGCGCCATTCAGACACAAAATAAATTTTATCATTAGATAATTGTGTTTCTATAAAATATCTTGATTTTATAAAATTATATTTTTTATATTGTATCAAATATTAAATTAAGACCACAAAAAATATAAAAACCTAGTTTGCTATGGGGTTTGAGCTTTCCTTTGTCTTTTTTGTTGATTTATATATCTTTTCCTATACTTTGCATTTAAACATATTTTTATAAATAACTTAAACGTTATTTGCAACTATGCATATACCTAGATCACTAGCGGAAAACAAACCCAAAGTAAAGCAGTTTTGATATAAAACTAGCAAGATTAACCTTATAAAATTATCTAAGGTCTGTATTTTGAATGGGTTGGTAGGAAAAGGAAAAAACAATGTTTTTAATCGCTTATATAAATCAATTTTTAGTTATAATAGCTTTGTCATAATAAATTATTTTCTAAAATTTAAATAAGCATTTGACATTTGACACAATTTTCATTGCAGCATGCCCTGAGAGAATTTGCAGTAAATAACAGCGGGTATAATTCTACATACAGGCAAAATATATAGAATTGCATGGTTGCATTATTTATTCTCAAACAATCGCCAAATACTTAGAAAATATCTAATATTCTCAATGTATCTTTGGACCACTATTCATTTTCATTTAATATTTGACATCGGTTTGATCGCAAAATATCTGCGACTGTTAGATAAATCAAAGATGAATAATGAGATCTATTTAAATGAATATCATTTTGATTATCTATAATTAGTAACTGTGCCAGCTCCATGTACATTGTACGGCCGTTCCCTCTGTCCTCTTCATTCCTCTTTACATTCTTTCTTCTTACTTTCACAAGCATTTTACATTTTAAGTTTCTTGTGTATTATTTTAGAACCTAGTGAGATATACACCGTGTAAATGACTAGTTTCCGGATTTATATTTGGTAATGATATGCTATTGAAAAGTGCCTCAGTAAATGTATTTACGATTATGATGCTTATATTGATATCGACTAACGTTTATTTATTATTATCATTGTTATTTTCTTTTTATTAACGAGTCTAAAGTCATAAGCATACCACTTAGCTTAAATATTTTATTTCACAGCGAACATCTTTTAAAGAAAAAAAAGGACGTTTGTCACTGATTCAAACATGATCCCGCTAATGTCGTTGTCAGTAAATGATACAGTAAAAATAAGACTGTAGAGATAATTACTGTTGACTGTAACTCGGTTACTACGGACACCTGTTTTACCTGTATGGCTATTTATCACACGACAGTCGTGTTTTTCAGTAGATAAACCCATGTCATATTTATTTTTTGCCAATGAACCTATATAATTGGACCTGTTGTGACGTCATTGAGCGGACAATAAAAATTACATCACAGACTTTCAAATTATATTATGACGTCACAATGTATATATCAGGACGTAAACCCAAAAGATAGTGGCTTTTCAGGGTTCAAGTCTGACGAATATCATTATTTATTTAACTGTAATGACCACCAGATAGTGCAAAACAGAAGAAAATTTATGTCGAGATACTATTTTGAAAGTCCTAGTACTTTAAAGTTCAATACATTATTTAATTATGTCAATAATGAAAAACTAATTTCACTTATAAAATTCCTTAAGCACATAAGTGAGCGAATTAACACTGGCCATTAACACCATGATTTATATGTAAACTGTACTATATATATATGTATATAATTCTCTACACTGTAACCAGTTTGCGAGAATAAAAACTTGTCATTGTCATTGTCATTGACCTGGAAAAGCGTGTGTTTTTTTTGAAAAAAACACCTTGATTAAGTGGAAAAATAGGGATCTCAATTGCGTGAAATATTTACTAATACAATTCCTGAAAGAATGTATGGTTCTATATAGGAGTCTGATTCCTGTAATGGTGTATGGTTATTTATAAATATATTGTATAATTACATTGTAACTCTATAATTACATTGTATAATTAAATTGTACACATTCTGTATGGATAAATTGTGTAAATACTGTAGATTTACATTGAACAAATAAAATAAAGTCACACTGATAAATACTATATAGTTACAATGTATAAATACTATATAGTTACAATGTATAAATACTATATAGTTACAATGTATAAATACTATGTAGTTACAATGTATAAATACTATATAGTCACAATGTATAAATACTATATAGTAACAATGTATAAATACTATATAGTTACAATGTATTAATACTCTATAGTTACAATGTATAAATACTATATAGTTACAATGTATAAATACTATATAGTCACAATTTATAAATACTATATAGTTGCATATTATAAATACTATATAGTTGCATAGTATAAATACTATATAGTTGCA